GGTTTAGAGCTAAATGATAGAGCTTTGAACCTGAAGGCTCAATTTTAGCCTTTAGAGAGAGAAAGTTAGGGCAAAAATCTATCTTGAGTGAAATAAGACCTGTTGAGATCATGTAAAGTAGTAATTAAATAATTATAGACTTAGAATAGATAAATGGAAAAGAGTTTATGGATGAATATAGCCCTAAGTAGTAAAAATGAGTTTTTGATTAAAATAGACCAATTAACTAAAATGTGCCAAATGTATTCAAATTGGCATATTGGACATGTGAGTAGAGAAAGGAAGCTTGTGATAAGCTTGTGTGATAGTTGAAATCCACGGGGTAACCTTTCTAGTGATAAAAGGGTTGAGGTAATCGAATAACTTTTTTTGTTTGACTATTTATTGTAACTGTATGTTAGTATGCCATGTAATGCATGAACTAGTTTTGAATTGAATATATTTTGTGGCATTGAGTGATTGTGTGTGTAAAATGACTTTTGGTCAAAATGAGAATTGAAATTGTGTTTTGTAATATAAAGTGCTATATATATATATGTATGTATGTATGTATAAGAAAGTGTAAATTGTAAAAAGGAAACCTTAAATAGTTTGAGAAAGCACGATTAGAGTGGTGGGAGTTCACGCGAGAGTATAAGAGATGATAAAAATTATATGGCAAGGTTTCCTTAATACCCTATTAAGGTGCGATATTGGAAACAATTCTCCTTATTGCCTTGAAAGGTGCTATGTTAAAGAAATCTCCTGAGTGTCTATTAAGATACTGTATTAGAGATGAGAGACTCCTTAGTATCTTTGTGATATGGGTTAGATTCAATGACGCCCTATTGTGTGTACTGGGAGAAAACCATAGTCCGTATTGTGTGTTAGAACATCTTTAGCCGGGTGACTCTAACACTGCAGGTGAGCTCAAGACTAATGAGAGTGTACATTAGTCTGAGATGTGCCTGTGGTTTCATGTCGGAGTGATTTAGAGGTTTGGTTGGTAGAGATCATGCTAGTATTTTATGTGATATAATGAAATATCTTGAGGTAACACGAAATCTTTTGGGATTGATGAAAAGACGAAAAATAAAATGTGATATGTGATGAAATACTACTTAATGAGGTTTTAATGGTATATTATATTTACTTTCATATTGTTGCATGTGATAGTCAATAGGAATAAGTTATTCTGTTACTGAGATTTTTATTTCACCCCCATGGTTACATGTTTATAGAATCAAGAAGTGATCAGGCTAATGGAAGAGAGTCTGAACCGGCTTGAGTTGAGAAGCCGTGTACTCTGAGGTTGTGTAATGAACTGAATTAAAAGATTGTATATATAAGTATATATGAGTTGCCATAGGTTGCATGCATGTATTGAATTGAGTTTTTATGAAATCAACCCCAATTATGTGTATATGTGTTGTTTAAGACAAAGGGGCTTTAATTTGAATATGTTTGTATTGCAATGGTCATATGTTGGTGAATCTTAGGCCAAAGGATAAATTATGAGGAAATGAGTAATTTAGGGGCTAAGATTGTATTGTGATTATGATTGGTGAATCTTAAGCCAAGGGATGAATTATAATGAAATGAGTAATTTGGATGCTAAGATTGTATTGTGGATATGATTTCATATGTATAAGTTGAGAAATAGCCGAGTAGGCTAAGTTATGCCAAGAAATGGCATAGTATGTTAAGTTAGTGAATTGTGAAAATTGGTCGTCGAATGGTTAAATTTCAATATTTGAGTATGATTGTGATTAATTGTGGTTAATCAGGTGTATTAGATCCTTTTGGACTTAATTCAAGGCCTAGTGTGGTCTAATAAGAATAAGGGATTGATTTGAGCGTTTGGATGCGCAAATTTTTTAAAAAAAGTGACTTTTGTACCCGGGTGTCTAAATTTTGATCAAACCATTAGATCGTGTCTAAACTTATCTCATTAGTTAGTATATAAGCTAAGCTTCATGTAGGCACTTGAATCACTCTGATCGAATGTCATACGAGAAATTAGCACCCACTAGAAGTTCGTCATTTTTGCTGTCAAAATGACAGTAGAAAAATGGACAGATGCGCCGCAGCGCATGGTGACACATGCCGCGGTGCACAACACAAATAGGGTGAGCGTGTGACTCTGTGTCACATGCCGCAGTGCACTGACCATCCGCCGCGATGCACGTACTAAGTTTTAGTTTTCTTTTGAGTTAAATTGTATGCAATTGAGATAGCAATACTGGTGAGTTATGTCCACTATGTATTTGAGGAGTGCATGATTTATTTTTGTTGTATTTTTCTCTGATTGTGTTGTAAACTGATCAGTGTTATAAAATAAATCTTCAGCCGAAGGTTTTAAAAAAATAAAATTTATTATGAAGAATGATAAAAGGTAGTGATAACATCGTAATCTTCTTCTATATTAAGTGGATATAGGAGGAGGTTATAGTATTTGAGTCCATCACATGTGAATTCCAAATGAGTACATTCATTAACAAACAATTTAATTAAAAGGAGAGACTCCCCCAGCCAACTCCTTGGCCATTGCAACATCCTGTCCAAAACTATCATTTCCCTCCACAACATTTTGATCAATACCTAACTCTGAATGCTCCAAATCCATTTGATTAGACCTTATCCCATTCTCTAATCCCCTTTCATGACTCCCTTGACCACCTCTCAGCCCAATATCCAAAAAATTAGATTTGTCAACATTACCCAACTTAGTTTTGAAAGTTAGGCCTTTAGATTCAGATGGCCTAGTATCCAAATTAGCAAAAGAGTTGGAACAAAAGACATCAATCCCTCCGTTACTAGCCATGTGTCTTCCCTTTGTTGGTGCCACATTCTCTTTTCCTCTTCCTTTAACCTTTATTATGGCCTTTCTTTTGACTCCAATTGGGGCCACTTAGATTTGGCATTTTTCAAATTCAATTCAATGCTAAATATACAAAATTCCTCCTTTGATTTTCCTTTATTATTTTATCTCCCATTATCTCCATGTCTAGCTAATCCTACACGCACTCTTGATTTAATCTCAGACTCCTTAACCCCTTCCTTGATTTTCATATCAAAATTTACAAATCTCTTAGCATTCATTTTATAATTTCTATTGCGAAAATCATGCCTAATCAACATATCAAGTGCAAATCCTTTCTTTGGCAACTCCAACATAACCTCATCGGTAACTACCTTTTCTTTCATCACCGAAATCGTATTGCCTTTGTCATGGTTAGTTTGATCATTCAATATTTTATTCTAATCCTTAGAAGGATTCACACTCAGAATATTAATCTTCTTAAGGCACACTTCTCGATGATGTCCATATTTTCTACAATGGAAACAAACTAGATGAAGACCTTCATAATGAATCTTGTAATCTTCGCCCTACCATGTAAAACATAGTAAAAGAGGTTGACTCAAATCAATTTCAACACAAACCCGAGCAAAGCCCCCTTTATTAGAAATTGAAGTTAACATGTCAAGCTTCAAAATAACACCTACCATATTTCCAATCCGACGCAAGCATTCCACATTATAAATTTCCATCGGGATATCCAAAATTCTAATCCACACAGTAATCTGATGCTATCTCTCAACCTTTTATAGATTCAAATTTGGTCTTCATTTTTGAACAAGTAAATAATGATCATCTACCATCCAAGGCCCTTCCTAGCAAGCATATTAGAAAAAGAAACAATGAAATAGCCATTGCTCAGTGACATAATTCGCATAGGTTCCTTATTTTTCCACATTTGAGTCAAGTGAGGATGTAGAAAACACAAAGTAATGTTTCTACCCAGTAGTTTAATAATCAAAGAGTTTGTCCAAGGAAGACACGAAGCTTCATATTTCTTCTTAGTGGACTTTAGCTCAGGAATCTTTTGCTTCCTCAACTCTACCACCTCTTCCTTATAATCTGATCCGTTGGACCTCACTTTTAGTTCTTGCTCTTGAAGCTTAGCCAAATAATCCTTCCATCCATTCATAATATCGAAATAAGGTTCATTCTTTGTCAAGAAACCAACAGGGTTCAGACTTAACAATGAATCCTTATAAGAAATCATTCTTCTCTAACTATGATTCTCAACCTTTCCTCCTTGACTAGTGAATAGCTCATCTCCTCCAACCTTCATACTTCAACCTCTAGGAACGCTCCTCGAATCACCGCCACTGCCTTCACCCTTCTTTGGTACACTGCTCTCACCACTCTTTTCGCCACTCATTATTGCCTCTTTTTAGCAAAGTCATTATTCTCTGTCAACATATTTTAGCGCAACAAAAACACTTTTAGATGTGGCAAAATTTCTCTTACACCATTTTGAACTACAATATAAGGTATTGATTACTATTTCATGGTTTTTGAAAAGAGTTAGTTGAAACTTCATTTTTTTTAAAAAAAAATTCACATGTTTTCAATTATATCCTTATCAAATATCTTATAATGCTACTTTGATAATGATATTTAAATTTCAATGCATTATTTTTTCATAGAGTAATAGATGAAGTAAAGATATGTTTAAAAAATAATTATAAAAATTATCTAATATTTTATATTTTGAATTAAATAAAGTTTATCAAAGATGTCTTACATTGCAATTTGGAAAAGTCAAGTGACAAGGAAAAAATCATAACATATACATTGGCACTCACATGCAATCCAAAATGGATGTAAAACAAAACCTTCTCTCAATTCTCCGCTAAAATTCTCCGCACCAGTTCTCAATTTGATTTCTAGTTTGTTATGCTAGTTTTATAACCTATTAATAATAATTTATTAAATTATAGATATATATATATATATATAATTATTAATTAATAATTAATATTTACGTTTTGAATTAAAGAGAGTGGCGGAGCGTAGCCGATAACAGTGTGGTGCAGAGTACGGTAGGAGTTATTGGCCAAGCTAAACGCTTCTATACGCGCGGCCAAGCTCGCTTCAGACAAAGCTTCTCTTTTTTGGATTTGCCATCTCTCCCTCTTCTCCCCGCGGAGGAGAGAGAGAGAGACTTTGAAGAGTCCATATTTTACGTGCGAGCAAAAATAGCATTCCCAAGCAACGAATAAATTCTCTTCTTCTGTCTTCTAGGGTTTGCGTTCCCGCCATTGTCGACCTTGCTCGCTGCCGCTCCTTCCCCCTGTTCTGCACTGGCATTGCTCTGAGATCATCTGTATTTCCCTATTTGATTTCAAATTTCGGATTTATTCCCCTTTTAATAGGATTCTGATTGGTCTATTGGTCTATCCTTTTTCTTTTGGTTTAAGGTGAAGTTCTGCTTTGTTACTGCGATGGATATTTTTTTAAAATTTCCGATGCTTCGTTTTTGCAAATACGTGGTTTGTATTTCGGCGCTTTGCTGATTGGCTGGTATTTTTGATGAAATTGGTTGTTTAGATATAGGTGTTTTTGAAAGTGATGTGATTGTTGTAATGTGCAGATATACCATATCCTGCTCTCAATGGTATGCTCGTTTGGGAGTGGGAGAATGGCAGTCATTGCAAGGCTTCTGGCTGCTGGCAGGTTCTCCCAAACTAGGGCAGGTAGTTTCAGTGATGTTAACTGTTTTCTTAGGGTTGGAAGTTAGTTAAAACTGCCTTATAATTTTGAATGGAGGGAGTTTATTGTTTATCTGTCAAAGATCGGGCCTTAGAAAATTAGTTTATTTGATAATTATTTTGTTTGAATAATTAAATATTTGTCGAATATTATTCAAAACGTATGATAAGAATACGCCTTTTTTTAGAGGTCTACCCCCCTGAAGGCGTCTTTCATCTTTAACTACATTGATTGTATTCAGGCTTCAGTTGAGGGATAAAATGTACTTTCTCCTTTTTTTTCGTAAGCCTGTTGATTATGCTTAGCTTTGTATGCTTTCGCAATGTGTACTTAGTAAAGTAATAGAGAAACAGTTATTATTCTTTTTAACATCTGATCAACATTGTACTTCTTGGAAATCTTTGGAAGAGGAGATTGGCCATCAGAAGTCAGCTGCTGAATACGTTTTCAGAGATCTGCGAGATGCAGATGAAGCAAATTTGCTTGATGAAGAAGGTGTCCACCTTCATTATACTCATCGTTTTAGTTTTGGCTTGATTTGATTACTGAATAAAGGCAATTTCTGTCAATGCATTGCTCAGACGTTTCTCTTTAAAATTGAATAAATGATTATATGACCATTTATTTTGTTGAAAATAGGCTTCTTCAATGCGCCATTGGTAGTTGTGGCTGCACTAGCTTGTTTTGTATATTCTATTTTGCTATCCTGCTTCTATTTTTGCCTTTGGTTAAATTTTTTATGAATAACACTTAAAACATGCATCACTTTGCCATTCTATTTTGTCTCCTTTTTGTTTATTTGAATTTTTGTGTATAACATGCAGACTTCTATAATGTTGGACAGCCCTGGGTGATTAATTGTAGACTATCTCTTACTTTAACAAGATTTTATAACTCATGAGTATAGGAACTTCATTATTAAAAAAAAAATTAATTCACAATGTGAAATTAGAAGATACTGATGATAAAACCAATATTCTTAAATTAACCCACACAGATGTACATCCCCCTTTTGTGAGTCATAGAAGTACTATTGTCTTGGATTGGAAAGAAATTGTGGTGGACTTGTTTTAAGGAGCAAAAGTTTTCTAGGTGTCATCTCATACTTCAATACATCTATTTGAATCTTAGTATAGTCTATTAGCCCTTTGTATCCCTATTTACAGAGCTACAGGAGCCCATTTATTATCATCCCTTCTTATGGCCTAGTGAAATCAAGAAACTGTAAAACTTGGTTTTCTGCACTGCTATAAAAAATGGTTATATATATATATATATATATTTCTATATTTCACTTAGCTTACAGCTTTGCACCTGAAACTTTCTCACTAAATTGATACTGAACTCTCTTAGAAGAAATTTCACATCAACACTGATGCTTAGAGAAATAATAAATGGTCCCAAAGCTCAAATTTATGTGCAACAGGCATACCTTAAGAAATGCCTGTTTAATTTGTTACATTCATATTTGTCAAATAGTGATAGATATTTGAATTGGAGAGTGTATTTTTGAATTGCAAGTCATAGCATGCATTGAATCATAAGATTCTGCAACAATTAAAAAATAACTTCATGTATGAAATATGACATGTTTTAATCCTTAAGATATGCATGAAACACTCAAGATAGTAAATCTAACCAAAAAGATAAGAAAAATTCTTTAACATAGGTCATGGGTTAGCTTATTAGTCGTAAATTCGTAAGTAATTAATTCTTGAAATCATCTCAAGTAATATATTGATTTGCTTTTTTTTTTTTTTAATTTCAAGATATAAGCCAACACTTAACAACATTACGGCAAGCCAAACCAACACCAACTCACTGTTTTGATGCAATTTTGAATTGTAAAATTGTGCTTCTGTGTATTGATTTGAATTGCTCATTTATGGTTAATTCAATCATCAATTCATTTCATTGCCTTTAAGATTCATTATGAATCTTAAGGTTTGGATTGTGAATTGCTCTATGCTGATAACTTTGGTTATATTCTCAATAGCTCAAGGTACTGCCCTTCAATTCTTTCACATTGTCACTTTAGAACTTGAGAAGGAGGAACTAGTTATGTCCCTCAATCTGAACTCGTTGAATTAAAATATGGGATATTTATGCCTGTCTTTTGTTTCTCCTTTTTTTAGTTTTCAGCTTTTCACACTACTGCTTAGTGTATTTTCTATTGCAGATATGCATGTGTATGGTTTGAGACCTATGTCTGATCCCTTGCAGCTGGTAAGGTTTGCTTCTTGTTAACTTTTTTAAATCCACGCTAGTGGCATTAAATTTAGTTACTGGGAATAGAATGCATACACAAATGTTATTGGGAAACACCCCTGAAACAACTGTAGCTTAATGTATTCTAGTTACCTTAATTTACATATATTCAGTTTCGTGTTATGATTGTAGTGTCTGTCTTTTTTGTAAACTATTAAACAATGTATGACCCTAGCCACCTTGTACTATTGATAGTTGGAGTAAAGGATATGATAATCAAATCTGCATTTGTGTGCATGCACCATGTAGGGAATGGGGCAGAGTACTTACTGCATTCTTTAAGCTCTGTAAGTTGTCACTATTGTGTAAGCTCTTTGCTTTTGCATGTGATGCATTCTTTGATACCTTGTTATTCGAACTTTTTAGGTGACATACTCAATTCCTTTCTTAAATCATGTGATGCTTATTGCTTTGCAAGGGTCATAGCTGCTTTGACCTCTTGCTTGATTTTTATTCATTAGGAGTTTCTCTTGTATGCCACAAGAAGGGGGCTCCTGTTTCTGAAGTAGTTTTTGTTGGTCAACAGAAAAAACAGTTTTTGATTTTGATGTCTGCCTCCTTAAATAGTGTCATACTCATCACATAGTCAGCCTCCTGCATGGTTCATTGGAAGCAATTTTTGCCTTTCATATCAACTTTTTTAAATTGTACAATTGCTTGACATATGTAAATATGTGTGTATGTTATTCACAAAAAAATGTGTGTGTTGACATTATTTCCTTGATAATAAAGTACTTTCACTTAAGATAATTGATTGTTTGTATAATTTTGAAGGTATGTTGCAATGCTTGCAAGAAGCCCATCCAGGCCAGCCAATATGCTGCTCATGCAGGTAGGACTGGACTTTATTTATCTTTGGCCCTTTGCATGAGGTCTGAGAATTCACAATTTGTTAGCATGTGGCATTAATGCTCATTTGTTTTCCATAAAAAATTCTGTGCATCTATTTCTATTAGTTTCATATTTTGTATAGGTCTGCATATGATTCTGGCTATTTATAACCGGCTTCTTATTTTTGGGCTCCTTTTGTATGTGAAAAGGGTATGAAATCACTAATATTGGTTTTTACTTTCTTTGTCTCTCTTTGCTGCCGACTCTTCAGAACTTTGTAGGTCATTAAAGTATGCAGAACAAACCATTTTGGAGGTTGATGGCAGCATGGGCTATCGAAAGCCCCCAAGAAAAGAAAAGAAAAAGTTATCATCAACTTCTTGTGCTAGTATCCACATGATAATAATCGAGTTAACTATTCAGCTGCAAATACTGTTTAGCGCTAAGTTTCATCCCTGATTTTATCTGCTGAAAGTGAAAGTAAATTAATGATTTATTTACCTTTGAATATTCTATGTAATTATTGCATCCTTTGAAAATTATTTTAGGTGTACCTTCAACTTAATTTCATTAAAGCAGTCTTCTCTAGTTGTTCTAATTACATGCTAATCACAGTTAGTTGTAATATAAGTATTTGTACCTCCTAACCTCTCGAAGATCAAGCTCCAGCAGTTGGGGAGGAGGGAAGGGCTGAGGCTGTGGATTCTATTGATGCCGCTGTGCCACCATCCCATATGAATGATCATCAAATTAGAGTCACTTGCTATTCCAACGATGGTAAAGGTAAAAACATTTTTCCTGTGTTACTCTTTCTGTTCTCATCCTTCATACATGTCATTCCTAGCCCCCCTTTTTGCTGATGGTTAACCCAGTTTGCTGCATGTATCAAGTTTTGCTTGGACAAATCAATTTGTTTATTAGTTTCTGGAAAAACAATGACATCCAGGCCAGATAAACATGATTGCTGCAATGCTTATAACTTGTATTTGATTTAATCACTCTGAACCTTTCCTCCTCCAACAACCAAATAATTTTAGCTATGCCTTGAACATGATTTTTGTAATGGAAAAATTAACTTTCTTCCCTTTGAATCCTCTTGCTGTTGGAAAAGTATATCGCTGTGGAAGTGTGGCTTATTGATTTATTTCAAAATTGATTAAAGAATGGGAACAAAAATATATTTTTTCACAAATAATGCGATGTAGGTAGTTGACATTTAACATCCTTAGGTTGAGATGGGTGATGGGTCGCATATATAGTTTTAAGCTTATTTTCTTGGCAATTTGGTTGGGTATATCTAACAGGTTGTTTTGAAGGAGTAATGTTGAGTTTCTGCTAAAGATTTCAGTTATGCTGTAAAGCTGATGTGCTAATTAATTTGAAAGCTTCATCATAATACCAATTTCCTTAAATACTCATGTAGATGCAGCATCTATGATGGATGGTACGGGATTTAAACTTGGAAATAGAGATCACCCAGCTTCTGTAATGCAACCTCCAACAAAACGTCGTAAATTGTATGCTTTCTTAGTTCTCAAGACATTTTTAATTGTTGAAGTCGGATCAATTTGACATCATTATTGCCTTGTGCCTAGAAAATGTGTTGCTCAATAAATCTGTTCTTTTTCAGTGTCTTCGGGGGAAAAGATTATAATCAATAGAAAACGTTTTCAAAACACCTTGTTTCATGTTGAATATCTCCCACTCATCTCCCTCCTCTCAAAAAGTAGTTCTTCATCAAGTAGAAAACCCGTTGCAGGCCTAGCAAGAAGTTTTAAATCAACAATGAAATATTTTGGCGTCGGGCTCAATAAAAAGCTTGTGATTCAATCTTTATGAAATCAAGACCAGCTATGATGCATATGATATGCTTGGAATGCTATATTATTCCAAACTGCTGGCGGGAAAGCCCTGTAGATGACTGAGTTAAATTTTAAGACACTGTTCACTCAACCTATCTTACTCATTATGCAGTTTTTACGCTTTATATATATATATATATATATTTTAAATTTACATTAGGAGGGTTTGAACCTTGGATTACTCATTTTACCACCTGAGCTGCTTTCAAGCATCTTTGTTTGTCAAGATTGTGCTCATTCTTTCTCTGCAGGATTAGTGGAGTACATTCACCTCTACCAGAAAGTCCTGCAACAGAATCTAGAATAACAAGACCAGCTAGCTTTGCAAATAAAAATACTTGCAAAGGTGCGTGTATGTCTGTTGAAGTTGTTTGTTACATCTGAAGTCAGAACTTATGGGGATGAGTGTTTTCTTGTACATTCTGGTCAATATTTTATCATTAACAAGGGAGATAATTATAATTTTGATCATAAAAAAATATACATAGTTTTAATTCTGGGTCCGTGCCTAATATCATCCCAAACTGGCTCATATGAATGTTTTAATTTGCTTCTACTTGGTTGTTCTTTACATTGTATTTGTACTGGATGTGAAGCATACTGGGGGCATGAAAGGGTCGACTAGAAGATAGAAATTTGAGAAGGGACCAAAATGAGAAAGCAGCCCTTCCCTGGCACTAGTGTCATTTTTTATTTAGCACAGGCAAACAGGCATCAATTGTTCTATGTCTAAAGAAAATCATTCCATTGCTTTTTCATTCTACTTGATTCTTCTTTTAACGGAAAAAGTAACTACTGAAAACTGATCTTTTCTTATCTACACCTGTGCTCTTATTGACTTTCATTTGTAATAAACACAGTGCACACTTTGCTAAGATGTAATTTCAGGTCTAGAACTTGGAAAATTTTGTGGTGATTCTACTCTTACTGTATTGTATAATCATCTTTGTGGGAGGGAGGCATTACCTAGTTTTTTTAATTTATTTTATTATGTAATCTCAGGTCTAAAACTTCAAAAAACTTTATGGTGATTCTACTCTTACTGTATTGTATGATCATCTTTGAGGGAGGGGGTTTTGATTTATTTTGTTTTGTTTTTCAGGTGGGGATATGTTGGAAAGAACTGTCTCTGAAAATGGAGATCCAAGCCATAAAAATTTTGGGCTTGTCCTAGAGCAACACCTTACAAAGAGAGGTATTATGGATGATATATGTTCAGTTAATTCGTTAACCCTATAATTCTTGTGGAAAGTTTTGTAACCTTTTCTAAATATTTCCTTATTCTTCAATTCTTATGGTTTCTGATATATCCTGCCATTCTCTCCCTCTCGTGTGTTGTTAACAACGTATGTTTCAATTGAATTAGACGGTCCTGCACCCCTTGCTACCAAGGTGTATTATTCACAAAGGAACAATCGTCTGCGTGCAGCTCTTCGTCATCTTTATTTTCAGGAATCAAGCAATGAATTATGTACAGATATTGCCAGTCCAAAGTCCTCAAATGAAACGTTAGCGTTCCAAGATTCACATCATATAGACCCTTCATTTGGACAAAAGGATGATGATAACACGGAGGTATTTGATTTTCTCTCGTATGATTTTAGGTTAGCTACTTTTATCACATCCTTCAACAAAAAGGTTATGTGGCTTGTTGGAATACTAATGCTGACTGTATACATGAAGCATGCATGATCTAACTTAAAATCAGCATGAAATTTGGGTCTCTCTTTTGTCTTTTTGTCTTTTTGTTAAAAGAAGGAAGCATATGATATTGATATCTATTGTCCAGCTATACTTCCTGTCTTGAGTTGGTAAGTGAACAAGCTCTGACTTGCATCATTATTTCTTTCGGAAAACAGTGCCTCTTGCCAAATTTGAGCTCAGTGCGAAGTCCTAATCATATTCTTGCGAAAAGTTCAGACATTTGCATGCGTAAGGCAGAAGACCTACCGGCTAGCAACTTGCCAAATCAATTTGTTGTTAATGTTTCAAGGCCTGCAGCTCCTCATCTTGTTTGACAAGAAGCAGCTTTCTTCCAAAGCCTTATTCTTTTGCAAGCAACACAGGTAATCTTGTAAATTCAATTTTGGTCTCATTCACTATTTCACTAACTTTTCAATGCCATTTTCTTTTCATATCCTTAATTAAGAAGATTCAGAGACCATTAAAAGAATGTCTCTTGACTGACTATAAGAATGTCAGTGGATTCACAGCGTTAACTGAGGTGATATGACTGGCATTAAAGTGCATGCTTTGACAAAGAGACAAATAGACATGATGCATTGCTACCTTGATTGAATTTAAATGAACAACTCTCTTACACAGGATCATGTTTGTATCGTTGTTATTTTTCGAGTTAGAT